AAAAAAAACTTATATCGCACGCTTTCCTTTTGTTTTCACTATTACACTTTGCCACTTCACACTTCATTTTGCTTTGTAGTGTCTCAATAGTTGCTTAAAACCACGCAGAAATATTAACGCACAAATATTAAAATTGTTATTTGGTTTTTTCGTATGCTCACAATCAACAATTGCACCAGGATGACGTCACGCACACAGCTGATTCTGTCAAAATCACAAAGAGCGGATTAGCGGTACCGCGATTGGCGCAATCTCTATTTCTCCCCTGCAAAAAATGGTAACGATGAAGACAAAAAAAAGGCAAAAGTGAAGATAAAGACAAAAATTGAGATATAGGCGAAAATGGAGACAATGAGAAATACATAAGAATTAGGTTAACAGAGTTGAAATTTTCCGATAGGAATCGAAATAAAATCAGCCATAAAGGTAAAGGAAATTTATCGAATCATCGAAGTTTATAATTATCGAAATTTATCCATGCTTCTTAAGTTATCGCAACGTATCGAATTATTCAAACTGATCAATGTTTATTGAGTTGTAGAAATTTGTAGACACAGAAACTTAGTTGTCGAAATTTGCGGATAGTTATTGAGCTATAAAATCGTGTGGGATTATTCACGGTTATCGAAATTGGTCGAGTTAACGAATTTTGTTGAGTTATAGAATTTTAGTGTTCTTGAAATTCATCGAACTATCGATATGTATCAAATCATTGAAATTTATCGATAATGTACCGGGTCAATTCCAAGTCCTGCCGAAGTCCTCCAAAGACCTTCTCAGATAAAAAAAAAATTAGTTACGTTTTAGCAGAAGATTTTCCGGGATTTTGTTATAGATTTTATTATGGATTAGTTATCGATTTTGTTATCGATATTTTTATAAGTTTTGTTGTCAATTTTGTTATCGATATTTTTATCGATTTTGTTATCGATTTCACTATCGACTTTGTAATCGATATTTTTGTAGATTTTGCTGTCGATATTTTAATAGATTTTGTCATCGATATTTTTACCGGTTTTGTTATCGATAGTTTTATTGATTGTGTTAACGATTTTGCTATCGATATTATTATCGCTTTTGTTATCGATATTTTTATCGAATTTGTTACCGATATTGTTACTGATTTTGCTATCGATATTTTCGGAACTTATCGAGATAATGATCGATATTTTAACCGATTTTGTTATCGATATTTTTTATCGGTTGTTTTATCGATTTTGTTATCGATTTCGCCAGGGGCGAACGCAGAAATTTTTTTCGGGGGGGGTTTTAAAATTTTTTTTTTTTTTTCGATTTAAGCAGTTCCACCAAATATGCATTTCGGTGGTACAATATGTCTTTATTTAAATTTAAAAAAAAATTTCGAGTGCTTACATATGTACATATGTATGCATGAAAAAACTTTAAATAACATTTCTCTACTGCCTCGTCTTTAAAAGAAAAAATTGTATTCAATATTTATTAAATGTATTATCTTTCGTATTATATACCTATATTAAAATCTTTTTTAATAAATTCGAGTGATTACATATGCATGAAAAATTAGAAATAACATTTCTCTAATGCTTCGTCTTTAAAAGGAAAAATTGCAGTTACAAATTTATATCTAATCTCCTTGGTTGTTTTGCCATTATATTCAATATTTCTTCGTTCGTAACTTCTATATCTCTGTGGATGTTAAGTAAAGCTAAACCATTTAATCTTTGTTCCCCAGTTTTATTACGTAAATATGTTTTAATTCTCCTGAGTGTTGAGAAGGAGCGTTCGCTGGAAGCAACTGTAACAGGAAGTGTTGCGCCTATCTGCAAGAATCGGTATACCTTTGGGTATAGTGATTGATTGCAAACATTAAGAGCGTCTATGAATGTTGTTGGTCTGTGCTCCGTAGGTACATTGACAAAATGCCTGTAAAGAAAAATAGTATTAAGCTAAATATCAGCACTGAAATGGTGAAATATTAGCACACTATTTATATTTGAAATGTAGAAATTACCTTTGCCACATTTTAATTTCGGCTTCAAAATCTTCATTGGTTCCAAGGACATCATTTGGCCATTTTGTTTCCAAAGCATGAACAGTTTTAGTTAGCTCTCCTGCTTCAAGCTCTACGCATTTTGTTGGAATAATATTTTGAATGTTAGACAAGATTTCGCGATGAGTGACAAATTTAGTGTGCAGCTGTTCTAAATACATATCCAAAAAAGGAATGAAAATAGATTTTCGGTAGTAGGCCTCAGGCTCTCCTTCGTAATTATCACGATACGCTTGAAGACCTACTCGTCGGGGAATAGTTAATAATATACTCATTTTTTCTGCTACTTTACTTGCCGAAACAAACATTTTGTGAAATTGTTCGTCGGCTGACGAACGCATATCTTTCAGCTCTTCATACAAATCGTTGGCAAATGCTACGCATTTACTCAAATCGCAATCTTCTTTTTGTAGAAAGACACTCAGATTCTTCGTTAAGCTGAAAATTGGTTTGAGTACAGTCAACGCAATGATAAATGGAGCTGTTCGAATTGAAGAGAGTAAAGCATATGGCTGAACGCCGTCGCACTGTGTTGTCTTCTCGTCCAATTCCTCCAATGCCAAGCGAACATATTCTAAAACCTCATAGAATAAGCTGAGAGAATCTAGATGTTCTACCCACCGTGTCTCACAAAATTTCAGGAGACGAATTTGTCTGGCACCAGGGTTAGCTGCTAGAATAAACCCTTTCAACATTGCGCCCGCTTTGTTGGAATTACGGAAGAAATTCACTGTTGCTTTAACCGCTGCCATACAGTTCCTGATAGATGGAATTTGGCACGCATGTGTGATAGCTTTATTTAGTCCATGATTTGCACAGTAAAGATAGAGAGCTTCCGGATACGATTTATTGACAATAGCAGCGCAACCTTTGAATTCTCCACACATGGCTCGAGCTCCATCGTAACCTTGAAAATAATAAGATAAAAACGATCAAATATAATTTTTTGGCTCGCTTTAGGTTAATAATAATAATATAACGCTCGGTTCCCAACCAGTGGGTCGGGACTCACTAGTAGGTCGCCGAACAGTTACAGGGGGGTTTAACCTAAAATCGCGTCTAATTAATCTTGGATTATCTAGCCTGGTGAAATGAAATTATTGAATAAACATACCTTGAGCCTTCATAAAGAGCAAGTCCAGACCAAGCTTTTCCAAAGTAGTTAGCAACGTTTCAGCTAGACCTTTTCCCGTCACATTGACTACAGGAACGAAACAGAGAAAATCTTCGCGGATTTTAGAATCTTGACCTATTTTATGAACGTATCTTACACAAATTTTAAATTTTTCAATTCCACAGACGTCCGTTGTTTCATCGGCAGTCACTGAGAAACATTTTGAATTGTTTATGCGGTTCACGATTTCTTTTGTTATTATTTCTGATGCAGCATCCACGATTTCATTTTGTATACGAAAACTTAGATACATAGAATTACCTCCTCTGAAGCTCTGAAGTTTCCATCGTTGTCTTCTGGAAAATTCATCGATAATTGACCTTGGTCCCGATGACCGCGAAGTGCTAGTCCTTGTCGACCACAAAGTAAAACTGAGCGAATTATAGTCATACGTTTTTTTCTATTTTCCCGTTGCATTTGTTTACGACCTTGATCGATGTCACTAACGATGTCGCTTTTTTTATTTTCGAAAATCAATTTGAACATCTTCAAATGCTTCTGTATGATAATTTTTCCTTTGATGATCTTTAAACTTATCTAGAGCTTTTTTCCAATCTTTAAATGGAGATTGAACCAACATGTTTGCGACTTCATGTCGTCCTTTGCCGATGTTTGTTTGTACAAATAAAACGCAGAATCTGCAATAAGCTCCGTCTTCACTGGCCGAATACGATAACCATGGGAATATATGTAGCCATGATAATTGAAATTTCAAATTACGTTTAGTCGAAGGCGGAAATTTAAAAGTAGCATCCGGTGTCCACGGATTTTCAAGGAGTTCATATATCTCGTTATCGCTTAGTTTGCGGCGACAAAAATTTTACACATCATTAATCGGGACCTGAAAGAACGTGAATATGTAAATTCGTTCGCAGGGAATGTAAATCTTGATTTTCGGGACGCAGAGGGCTGTTAAATCGCCGGCATTTTGAAAAAAATGGTTATCAATATTTTTTAAAACTTGCAGAAGAGACCGTTTTTAGGCCTTAATGAAACTACGCCTTATCGTATGGTAGTCAAATTTCAGTAGGATTTTTCTCTATCTCATCATTATATACTGGGAACTGCGCGACTCGGTGACAAGAGTATAAAGATAACTGTTCATGTACTTACTCTGAAATCAGGTGCACTAAGGTCCTCAGCGTCGGAGCGTCTTAATTTTTTCGCTACTTGATACTCGACAGGTGAATTTTCGGTTGTCACTGTAGTTTGTGCAACTTCCGCAGCCAGAGGGGCAACACTTTTCGGTTTAAAAAAGTTTGTTATTTTTGCAGAATGCATTCGGAACGTAGCACTTTTTCTTTGGGTGATTCACAAATTATACACTAGCACACAACTCACTAAGTCGATTTAACTCACGGGCATTGAAAATACACTTTATCCCTCAAATATGTAAATTAATTGTACCTCAAAATATGGATCACGTTGAACCTCTAAACGATGCTGAATATACAAAATGTTAAACACAGCAATTTCAGTCCAATTATTTTTACCCTTTCGAAAGCTTCGAAAAACGTTAAATTTAAACTAAAGATATGCGTGCAGTATACTTTTAGGGATTGTGTTAGTTTCAAGCAGTGATGGAAAAGTACGCACAATAGTGCCATTTTTGGCACAATTCATTCAGTTTTGGAACAATCATAAAATACATAAGGGCTATTCGCGATTCGGTGCATAAGAGCTGACAAATTTATGCAATTGCAGAAATATGCCATGGATTGTGAGCGACCTTTATTAAACTGTCATGGTAAAGCTTTTGCAAAACAATTTTTGTGCATCAGCTTTGGTTTTGTTTATGAATGCAATGCATAGCATTTTTATGCTATGGATTTTCGGTATTGCAAATTTGCCAAGCCATGACAAATGCAAATGCGTGTATTTTGTTTGTGTATTGCAAATAATTTGCAATACAAATTTGCAATGCAATGATGCTAGGCCATTTGCACCGGATCGCGAATAGCCCTATATAGAAGTTTAGCCAACAAAATGCAAAACCGCGTATGTGAGGTTGCATAAATTATTTTCTAGACAGTAAAAACACTCATTTTTCAAAATTGTTCTCTTTTTTATAGAGCAATCGCTTTTCTGGCTAGTATATTTCAGGACAAATGGATGAGGATTGAGGCAAGAGCTTGTGTGAGCAAATCCAATTTTTGGCAGCCAATTTCAGTTACGCGATTTTGCAGAATGACGATACGCGGTTTTGTACTTTAAACGACGATATGTGTAAACAGGTCCGAATAGCTACATTTAAGTGTAAATGGAATATTGTGTTATTTTACTATGATTTTACTCTAATAATTCAAAGAAGTACATTAAAAATATTTTTAAAAATACATATGTGGTTCTTAAAAAGCCCTAAAAGAAAGCAATATCAATTTTGTGGCACTTTCACATTCTTT